ACACTTTCTTCAGTGTTATAGTCACTGGTAAGTTGTCCATGCTCAGGTAAATACCACCCCCATTCCTGTAACCATCCTTATTAAACTCACTAGTTCACACATCCATAGAAAAAAAGTCCTAATAGGTCTTCAGAGAATGCTCGGTAGTTAAGAGAATGCATTGCTCTTGTAAGAGCAGCAGAGTTTGTTTCCCAGCACCCACAATGAGCAGCTCACAAACACCTATAACTCCAGCTCCAGGGCATTCAACACCTCTGGCCTCCTAAGACACTGACACTTACATGCACATACCCACCCATAGATACACAATACACACAACTGGAAAAACCTAAGTCTTAAAAAAAAAAAAAAGACATGAATGTAGAAGGGGAATCAATTGATAAGATAAAGATAAAGGAAAGTTCATGGTTAATAGATCAGAATAGGATGTTGGATATAAACAAAATCATTATATACAGACATGGAAATGTATAGCGAATGAAATCCACTAGTATTCATAATTAATATTAATATATACAATTAAAAAATTAAACTCTCTTAAATCATTTAATAATTTTCTTCAGATTTCACTAGTACTGCACGATGTTTATACTCTTTTGATATTTTGATATTTTTTGCATTTCTCTGAATTGTTTTAAAATAGCATTTTACTCCTTGTTTTCTTCATTCATCAATATCTTAGGGATTTTCCCACATGAGCACACCTAAACCTAACTCATCCTTTGTAATGGCCCACACTGAATCCCAGTGGGTAAATGTGTGCCATAATTTATTTTATCAATCCCATTTCGATGGAGTTGAAACTCTGTTGTCACCATGATAACCATTGCTGCAATAACTATATCTCAACATAAATCTTTTCACACATGTCCAGAATTTTTCATGGAGGTAAGCATCTAGAAGTGGAAGCATGTGTCAAATTCACACACTTCACATTTCAAGAGATACCACATTTTAAGAGATATAATGCTGTGGGAACGTGGTTCACCAGCTTTGGAGTACTCAAATTAAAACAGTCTGCCATGTTCCAAGCTGAAAGTTCAGATCATCATCCGCAATGAAGCTTAAGAAATTAATGATTAGTAACTAATGCTCGTTCATGCTACTCCTAAATACTTTAGTTTGCAGTGTCGTGTAACATCTATTATCCTTAACTATTAATTGCATAGTCTCATGCTCAAATCAGGGTATTTTCATCGTTCTACTCCAAGTTCAGGGCAGTGGCAAGAAATATGTACTTATATCTCTACTCCTCCCTGGTATTTGGGGGTTTTATTTGATGTCCATAGCCATGCTCTGCCTCTTAGAGGAGGTCAATATCATCCATCAGATGATCAATGCATTATCACTAGCACCAGCTTACACCAAATAACTGCCTGTCTGCTCCAATCCTAACGCCAATCCACTATACTTAGCAGCTTCGAGCTGGTAGGCATTCTTGAAAGGAAAATGTGCAGCCACAGTTGTACCCACGAGTTTTTACACTCTAAACCCACAACACAATCCTTTTTGGAAAAGCACCTTGGCATCTGAAACATATGCGCCAGGCAGTTTTCTAAAATGTAGTTTGGAATGGTAGAGTAAAAAAAAAAAATGTGTAAGGTTCGTACAAATTTTTAATGATTTACCCCAAATCTTCATGTTAAAATGGATGCTGATGTTCACTATATAATAAAGTCATAAATGAGTCATAAATGAACTCCTAAGATACACAGTCTGCTTAATACAGCCTTAAATCTTGTCAAGTATGAATTACATAGATGTTCTCTGCAGAGCAAGTTTTATATATCATTCCAACGTCAATGAAATCACGTTGACTGAAGAACAAATGATTCATTGTTTACTAATAACTTGTGTCTCATGTAATCCACAGACACATAATTTTATTTTACTAAAGAATCCCAGGGACCTTTTTTCTTTCTAAAGAATTTTGAGAAGACTCTTATTTTATTGTTTCAAAGACACACACACCCACACACACACACACACACTTCCACCCACATATTCCAAATAAAGGAAGCATTAAAATTGTCATCATAATTCATATATCTGCATCAGGGGTAAACATAATCTTAAACTGGAAGGCTACATTTGGCAAACCATTTTTCCTTTTTCTCCAGCATACACACTGTTGAGTGTGAAGAACTTAGGCTGTCTTAATTACTGGAAACCAAAGAGATGCTACATCTGAGTTTTCATTGTGGAGTCTGGGTTTTTGTTTTGTTTTTAAATTAACTGTCCTTCCAAAGGCTTCATATTATGAAGGGGTACAAATATTTTCCAAGTTGTCATAGTAACTTCATACATCATTCCCCAAATAAAAATTATTCCAATATTTCAATTACTGAAATTATGAATCTGTTAATCTACAGCACATTTTATTCACTTATGTAATTTTAAATTTCAGTTTCATTTGATTGACTGTTTTAATCTTCCTTAACTAGTGAGTAAGTGAAAATAAATGGTGCAATCTTCACACTATAAATATGAAAAATAGGAAGTACTTAGGGGCTGCGGGCAAATACATTAAAATCAGCCCGTTTTCTAGTTAACATATTCTCATTCTGTTTGTGCACAAACCCACTCCATTGAGGAGGCAGATCACAAGTGAATGGCCTTACAAAAACACTATCCCAATTTCACGTTATGACAGCAGAAATTGGCCCAAATCTCTAACCACTTCCCCTAACGGGCCTTGGCTGGCTGGTGCCATCCAGGTGAGGCACAACCTCAACAAGGGGAGCAGCTGTCAAATTCCGCTCATCTGTCAGTGTAGTGGATTATTTCTTGAGAGACTGAAATTGCCTGCTTGCAATCAGAACACCATCAATCTTGCTGTGGAGGGGATGGGGAAGCTGCCTGTGAGGGACTGGCCTGAGGGGGAGTGGATGCCATTCCTAAGCAGGTGAGGGTGACTGTAGAGCCCCCTCTCACATACATACATACATACACACATACATACATACACACATACATACATACATACACACACACGCCTAGTGAAAGGTTTGTCATTTTGCACATTCCCACATGCTTGACATGCACGCCAAGTACGCTGCTCTGCTCTGCCTTGTGAAGGAGGTGATTTTTCAAGCTTAGGCAAATGTAGCAAGGCTGGGGTCCGCTGCTGCCTCATTTTTTCTCATCATGTCACCCATTTTCACTGATTTGAGAGAATGAAATTATGCCATCCCTTTTTTGCTCATTTATCCAACCGTTTATTTATTTATTTGCGCATTGAGGGGCAGATTGTCACAGATAACTGGCCCTGGGTTTTCTGTTTGTTTGTTTTGTGTTCACACACATTTCATTAGTGTCCCTGAAGATTTAAGACCCACAAAGGAAAAATGCCACAACCCTTATCTGAGAGGGAGGAAAAAAAAGAAGCACATTTTTGCTCTTAAAATCAAAACAACAACAACAAAAAAAAACACATTAAAGAGTGTCTGAAATAATTTGGAAGATTGCTATGACCAAGATCTATTGCTTTAATCTCTGCAGCTATTGTAGCGATCCTAAGAAAGTTAAACAGGCACATTACACAGACCCATCGGACTTCCAAATCAACAGTATTTTAATCCCTCTGCATTTGGAAGAAGCATTTATAGTTCCTCCTTTTCTACAATAAGACTGGGATAGGGCTCAGAGAGTGAGCCCATGGGGCCGAGTTGCTAAGAACAAAGTTCCCGAAGATATTTAAGGTATATTTTCAACACGGATTGACTGATAGTGAGCAAGCTCCGTGGTATATGAGGAAGAACACCAGTAGTGAGTTGAATTTCAGTCAGAATCAAGTTTTAAAATATGGTATTTTAATAAGACCTACAATGATACACAGTTGATACACATAATAGTCCCAGTTTCCAGAAGCGAATAGACAAGCTCTACAAAAGAGTTCACTACCACTTATATGAGCTTCTTTTTGTTTAATGACTGCACACATAGCATAAAGTAAGAGAGGTGGCAATCACCGGCAGGTCCTATCCATGTATCACTTGGGTTAGAAAACAACAAAGGCAACAAACTTAGTCCTGACCAATGGATCTGTTAGCAGTGCAAACAGGAAAATTTGACTCACTCAACACCCTTGACTTGTAGGTGGGTCCCTTAAACAGAACGCGACTGTACTTGATATTTATAGGAAGTTCACAATATACCCAGCACTTGCCACTTCCTAGGAAGTCATTCCCTCCCATTCCCTCCCCCATCCCCTGATGGGGAAATTCGTTCAGATTTGGAAAGTCACTTATCCAAGTTCATATCAGGAAAGTTAAGTGACAGAGACTTGCCCCACCACTAGTCCCTGTCCACCACCACCGACCACCTGCTTCAGCCACCTCCAAGAACTGGATTACAGTTTAAAGGGGTGGGTGCACTGATCTGACCTTAAAGTTTTCATAGATTATAGCCAGTGCTCCTAAAGGTACCTGGTATAGACAATTTGCGTACTAGGGAACATTTCCCCCTCTTGTGGGAAAATCACATGGCCATAACCTCCATTGGCAACCATTCTTTGGGTGGCTTCAGACTATCACCCAGTACCTTCAAACTCCCACTTACGTTCTCTGGAAGAAAGGGGTAAACTATATCCACTTACACAGTGGTTAAATTAACAGTATGAATTAACCCTGAACACATTCTCTGGCACTTTCGGGATGGGTGGTTTTTTAATCTCATTGTTGAGCATTACAGAGAAACTGCATTTCCCAGCTTATTTATATGACTATGTAACAAGCAGAGGACTTTTCTTGCCAGAACAGATTGGCGATTAAGTGGTTGGAGGTAGCTCAGGGATCCCCAAATCCACGATTGTGCTTCCTCCATGTTGGCACTGAGGCTTCTGGCAGGAACCTGGCACTTCCTGTGCCAGGGTCTGTATACAGGACACCGTAAAAACAGGCAAGAAGCACCAGCGGCAGCAGCCAGCAGCGTGGTTTCCATGCCCACCCGCAGGGGCACCAGCGCCCCCTCGCTCCCTCGCTGACCTGGCTTATGGAAGGAAGGCGGCTGGGACCCTGGACAGCTGGCCTCCTCCGCCCCCAGCCCTCCTCTGCAGCTGAGGGCTGCAGCCCAGCAGGCGTGCGCTGGCATGCATCCTCCCGGCTCTATCTAGTCTGCCCTAGCCTGGAAGCTGAATCCCGGGAGACAGCAAAAGGCACCGGGAGAGAGACTGGAGAAGGCCAAAATAAGAGTGCAGGATCACAGTCAAGGCTGCTGCGGAGCCAGGAAAGACAGCGTTGCCGACTCCGGACTAGTACCTGCTGCACTGAGAAGCCTGTGAATGGCAGGAGGCCAGGAAAGTATACAAGCAGGTCCGGGAGGGAGGGCGGCTGAGCTCCAGAAATGAGGAGAGGGAACTTGGGACAGCAACTGGTCCCCACACGGTGAACTTGACCATTCCAAGGGGCTCCCAAGGACGGTGAAGGTAGGGGGTGTGGCCGAAAGGACACAAAGGCTAAACACAGCTACAGGGGTGGGGGGTAAGGGTGGTGGTGACGAGGACCGAAGGACACCTTTCTGAGAACCAATTAGGGACTGTAAAGACAATTGAACTGGGGGCGATTTTGTATGAGAAAGCTGGAGCAGCAAAGAAAGGAAAATCAGGATTGAAGAGCTAAGAGAGAGAAGAGTTAGAAGCCAAAGAAAGCAAACTGCACCCGGAACTAAAAGAAAAGAGAAATCAATAAAGGAAATTTTCAAAACACATGGCAGAGCGAACTTGTTCCTGAAACTACCAACAGAGGGAGGAAAAAAGGGGTGGGGGCGCCGAGCATACTGGAGGAACCAAAAGAGAAGGAATGAAAGGAGAGAAGACTGGATACAAATTAAACCAGACACGGCATAGTAAGTCACTGTTTCATTTTCTTTTTCATTGACAACTTCTAAAGTTAGTCTGGTCATTAACACATCCCTGGAGTCCTTTGCCCCAGACAGAAATGACAGCATCTATACAAGGTATAAATTCAACCCAAGAAATACATGCCTTCTCTCTAAATCCCCCAGTCTTCATAGTTACTCCACCCTTTGTAGAATATTTTGCTAACAAGGTGTGTGGAAGACGCTAGTGGGGGTGCGGGAGAGGGGGTCGACTCCTTTAAAGAAACCCACCTTTTCTGAAAAAATTAACAGAAATATCTCCAAGACATTTTTGGTGTACTCTCCATCCCCCAGAGCATCCAGCCTACAACATGTCTTAGAATTCGAAGGCAAACTGCCCACACTATAGCAATTTCTGTCACTTGTATTCCACCATCTGTTGAAGAGACCACGGTGAACCTGGAGGAGCCTGCTCTGGAGCAAGCTCCCTCCCAGACCCCCCCCCCACACACACACACACACACTACCTGGTCTGTGCAGGTGATGCTGCTGGAAGGTGTGCTGGAGGGATCCATGGCAGAGCAGCATGGCGCAAGCACTTATCCACAAATACAGGACCCAGGACATCGCAGAGACCATTGCCATTCTCTAGAGAGGACATGAGATGAGAACAGGTTACCCCTGACTTGCAGCCCCCAGTGGAGTATGTCCCACTCAGGAGGGAAGGGAGATATCAGACGTAATGTTCCTTGGCTCCTTGGCAGCCTAGAAGGAACATTCCAGCAGAGGTCATGCCAGAGATTGGATTGAAGACCCTTTCCAGAAACTCATAAATATGTTCCTTAACATCTGGAAAGCAAAAGGCCAATGATTGCCCAAAACGCAAAAATAAAGTTTTTGACTATCAATCAGGCAGATGAAAACATTGCATGCCCATGAAAACACCCAGTTTTACACAAAGAGCTGCAAACTACTTTCCCCAGACATTCGGAAGCTGCAGACTTGCTCATTCTAACTTCATTGCAAGTCTGACATAAGCCTGGAAGAAAAAGAGTGGGCTCTTTTTTTTCCCCTTTAATTCTACAGTCATGAATTTTTAATCGCAATGCTGTCCTCTAAACTAAGCAATCATTTCTCAGAGGCATGTTGTAATCTCCCGATAGAACTCAGCTTTCTGACTGGACTTGGAATCAGAAGGAGCCGTGTTTTCAGCCAGAATGAGTTTCGGATGCAAGGTCTATGCATCTATCCTACAGCAAGCCCATAATTTACAGTATTGTTTTGCCTCCTAAGATCCCACTGTGGCATTTGCTGGAGCACTGATGAATATGCATATACAGGTGGTGTGTGTATTTATGGGTGAGCATATACCTTTTCTCAGGCGCCGAAACTTTGAGAGTCTTATCTGCACCGATGAGCGTCTCAGGAGCTACAGAAGCTCAACGGCGCTACATATTGTCCAGTTTCCCAAACAACACCTTATGCTGCATCTCATATTGCCAAATTAATCAAACTTGAAGCATCTTCCTTAGTCAGCCTGTGATAGGAGGCATCTCCTATACAAGAATTCAGTTAGCAACATGCCTTTCTCTTAGAGAGCTCAAAGAGGGCTATGCAGGCAAGGCTGTGATTTCCTCTTTCAAATGACACCCTTCAAGAAATTCCACTATATGTTGAAACCCTGCTGTGACCTCCCAGGATGCCTTCCTAATCTGTGGAAATTGGTACTCTCTCTAAACCAATGATGTTCAGCAAAAATAAACATTAAATACATGTATGTGAATAATTCTTGGTAATTCACAGGTTTCAGAGAGGCAGAGTGTTTGAGAAGGGCTTTAAAGATAACAATAGATAAGCGTGAGGATTGTAATTAAGTGCGAAGTGGGGAAGCATTCTTTGCAACCCCATGGAGCCATCAATGCCCCAGGCAGTGACTCAGATGGACCTCTCACTTTCTAATTAGTTTCCAGTTTGGTGGCCCAGTGTTTACTTTTGTATACAGCATGCTTTGCTGGACTAGCAGGATAGCATAGATTCATTCTCATCAGCCCAGATAAATAGCATCCCTCCTTCTGTGCATCCCCAAATGAATGCATTTTTAGAGTCTTTCAGAATAGCCTGAAAATTATAGGAAGACAAAACAGACGTGACCCGGCATGCATTTGCTGTGTTGTCAGTCGCTGTTAAAATGTACTGGAAATTTAACTCAGGAAAAACCCAGCGATCATCAGAACTTAACAGTCCTTCGGAGCTCTGCCATCCCTTGCTCATTTTTAACCCACATAGACCTCAGCATGCAGGAAGATGCTCGGATTTGACAATCGCGGCACTTCCCTTTTCCTTTCTTTTCCCCCGGTTAACTTTCTTTAATTCTCAGCATTACTTCTCAGGCTCCTCAATATCTCTGTTCCTGCTAGCTCACTCACTCACTCTCCAAGAGAGCTCTGCTCCGCTCAGTGGCAGTAAGTGTTTTCCCCCAAATAATGCATCTAGCCTTACGTACTTCTCTGACTATGTTTTAAATCTGCTTTCTGAATCTTAAATCTTTGCAGAGGCTTTCTTACCTGGAAAATCCAGCCAAGAGCAGGGCACTCTCCTAGTGTTCATTGGAAAGAGCTAACACTTTTTAAAATCCATCTGTGCCACAATTCTGCGATATTCAAAGGCAGCACTTCCCAGCAGTTCTTTATCAAGAATTAAAGACAGAGAAAAAAAAAAAGGCTTTCCTCTTCCGATTTTCCACGGCTAAGAGGACGTTGAGTTCGTTCGCTGTATTGTCAGAGAAGGAGCCAGGGTTTGAGGGGTGGAAACCTTGTCATTTTCACCTTTAAATCTTCTCCTGGCGTCACCTCTGTCTGACGAGACCTTTGAAGTGATGGTGAGCTAATGTAGTTTCCTGATGAGAAGCAGTTTATAGCCACTGACAGACCATCCCCACTCGGGCACATTCAGGACAGAGTTAGGCAGCGAAATGTAAGAGCAGGGCTGCTGTCCCTCTGGTGAGGAGCGGGCGTCTGTTTCAATACACCCCTCCTCTCTAAAGTCTCACATGTCTTAAAGTGACATTACCCTCTATTATAGATGAGGTAAATTTTAATAACTGCCCTTAACTCTCCCACGACTCAAGCAGCACTTTAACACACTGTTACCTGATGGTCTGCGGTGGAGGTTTTTGTCTTAGACCATTCTCATGCCAGGAGACTGAGAAGGGAACGAAAAATGAAAAAGAAGGAAGCATCATGCAAAATATTGATAGTGTTAATGACTGTTAAGACTTGAAACAGTAAACGGAAAAGCGAGACATAAACCAGGTCTTACCTCTGAATGTTCTTTTTGCCAGCAAGTTAACCAAATACACTGCTAGGCTTATCCTGCTTCTATTTTTTTTTTTCTGTTAGTTGTTTTGTCAGCTAAATCTTGGAATATAATTTATCTGGAATATAACTGATGTTTGTGTTCCTAAGCCAAATAAAATCTTTGGAGTTATTTAACATGTTTAATAAGTAGAAATATATCATTGTTGGCACCAAAGGCTGAGTTATGATGAAGAAATATGCTCAGGGTTCTTTGTAAAGTATTTTTGCTTCCTTTCAATAGCGTGCTGAGATGGAAAGGGGAAACACGCAGAAGTTCACTAGCATTTCGAGTACTCTGGTGTGAACCCCAGCTTCCCTGGAAATATACTATGATTGTACTTAAACTTCAGAGGCGCATGGGAGATGACCTACTTTTCTTTTCTAGGCTGCGCCGGCAATAAGTGTCTGAAATACTCATTCAGTTGCTTTATGAGTCACTGACACCACACCTACTATGTGCCAAGTGCTTGTGATAAAGCAAAAGGCAAGACTAGTGTGATCCACAGTCAGAGGTCACCACCCCAAGTCCTCTACGTTATTTTCAGAGCAGAGATGGTTCTCACACTTTTCTTCTCTTGAAAACTTCAAAGTTTCTGAGAATGCCTTTGCCTTTTGTGAGCATTATAAAGAAGACTCGAGGCTGGGGTGCGTCTTTGAGAAAAATCTTCTTTCCTGGGCTCTCCAATGTGAAAGAGTGAGACCCTCTTGGGTTTCACCAGTCTTTCTCACTGGTCTCACAGTGATCACTATGCACATAAACACACACACACACACACACACACAGAGAGAGAGAGAGAGAGAGAGAGAGAGAGAGAGAGAGAGAGACACACACACACACACACACACACACACACAGAGAGAGAGAGAGAGAGAGAGAGAGAGAGAGAGAGAGAGAGAGACTCTCCACAAACCAAACTTCAAAATAACAATCAAATGTGTTAGGAATGATGAATTTACAGTTTGAGTTCATGTGTCTTATTTCTGAGGCTCATTACTGCTGTCTTAATTAATGGGTATCTATAGACATTTGTATTCATGCTGTGGAACCAAGACAGAAATAGAAACAGCCACAGAAGCAGGAGCCAAAGTTCATCAGGCCTTCCCCATGTGCTCGCACTACTCTGAACTCTGTCTTGTAAGGCATAATCTAAAGTGTTTTACTAACCCAGTAGGACAGGCATTGCCATTATCTCCAGCTCACAGATGAAGGACGTGGAGGGGAACTAAGAGAGCAGAAAGAACTCTTTCAAGGTAACAGAAGCATAGAGTGGTAGAGTGGATTCCCAACTCAAACACTCTACACAGGAGCCCATCTCTTATTCCAATAGAGGAATATGGGAAAAGGTAATTTTAAAATCTGCCTTATATTTATACGTGTTTGACAGTAAGGTAGTTTCAAAACTTATTAGTCATTAATTCTAGAGACGTGTATTATTCCACTTGTTTGAAACATTCAGGTGTTCAAGACAGTCTTTGCCCCATGATTTTGGGAGTTTCTGACAATGGTTTGCAAATGAATTTAAATTAAAAAGAAATTCCCATATGCTAATAAATGCTACCATTTAATTTTGAAATGTTATAACTTTATATTTTCCATTTCTAGTGGTGATTAAACAAAGGATCAATGTAGTTGCTAAACTATAATTCAGTGCACTTTAATACAGTTGAAGCATGAACTCATGGGTCATGCTTAAGGCACTGTAGACAAAGTGTGGGATATATAAAGAGGTAAACGGTTTGCTGTAACATTCTATACATATATATGATGAGTGAAATGGATGAGTGAAGTAAGAACAGCAGCACCGCTCCATTTTCTTCCCAACAGATACCTTAGAACCCATTACACTGCAGTCAGTTTTCTTTTCTTCCATAACATAAACATCAGCAAATACTGAGGATGCGCATCTGCACATGTGAGTCTGTGTTGTAGGTGGATGTAGTGCCTGTGTGTGCACAGAGGCCGGAGGATGTAAACTGTTTGGCCCTGTCACTCTCCACTTTATTCCCTGGAGAGGGCTTCTCATCGAACCTGGAGCTAGACTGGTGGCCAACAAGCCCTGGCAATCCCCTTCTAACTGCCCCTGTAAATCACTGGGGTTACAGGCATAAATGGCTTTTCATATAGGTGATGGGAATTTGAACACAAGTTCTCATCCTTGCTCAGTGAGAGTTTTTACTCATTAAGCTGCCTCCCCAGTGTTAACACTGAGGTTTATTTCAACTTAAACCAAAGGGACTCTCGTGCCTTTCAGGGGACCTGTGACTCCATGGTAGTGTGGAGAGCACATAACCTTTGGGTTTGTTAGGGTTTAAAGCTTTGGTCAATGATGACAGGTGTAAATATATTGGGATTGAAGTTTTAATGTTTGGAGAAATATCATTCGGATCTCTCTTTGCCTCTGGAACAGGGACAAGCTGTACTGTCAGCCTAGATCAGATCACCAAGGGACCACCCTTCCTCCCCCTCCACAACCCAGATGGCTACACACAGTGAATAGGAAGTAGTTGTCAAAGCAACTGAGACTTGTAACTTTATTATAGCTTTAAAATGGACAATCCTGATTGATAAAGACTTAAACCTGTATTAGTCATTTTCTAATTAAATTGTCTTGTTCCATGACCTATCCTAAACTATCCCCAAGGAGACAGCCGTGCACCTATTCAAACACCTGTCTTCAGGGAGACCACTGTGATAAGAATCTATTGGCTTTTTTTCATCAAAACACTGATAATCACAAAGCATGGAATATTGGGGTGAGAGGTTTTGGGGTATCCAAGTGAAGAATGATAGATAAGTTTGTTGGGGGAGGATGTTTGTTCGTTCCCAGCTGTTCATACCCAAAATAATCACTCAGAAACTATATTACTTGCAATACTGTTTGGCCAATAGCTTAATCATATTGCTATCTAGCTCTTATATCTTAAACTAACCCATCTTCATTAATTTGTATATTACCACAAGGTCATGGCCTACAGGCAAAGTTTCAACAAGCTTCAACAGAGGTGTCTATGTCCTGTGGCAGCTTTATGGATTTTTCCTGACTCTGCCTACTCTCTCTATAATATATAGTTTTTAGCCTGGCTTTACTCTGTCAAGCCATTGTCTAAAAGCAGATTTTTTTATTAACCAATGGAAATAAAACATATTCACAGCATACAGAGGTGAATCCCACATCATAAGTTGATCTCATATGTAGCTGATGATGATTGACCATTGTCATGCCAGGAAAATGTTTGAAAGAAAGGGGACTAAGAAGAACTATAGACTTATTATTTTTAACTCTCAGTTTCATTAATTCAAAATAGTCTAAGCATCATGGCATTCAAATTATGTTCTGGGTCAAATTCCTAAAGACAGACATTTCAAATACAGTAATTCATATACACACATACATATATGTACTTTTAAAGTTTCCTATACACTAGAATTCCTCCCATGGGAAAACCCACATATTCAGAAAGAAAGCCCTACAGAGATATTGGAGGTAAAAATAAAGCACCCAGAATACTTAAATAGCCCCAAACTTTCAGCAAACTGCCCTGCACAAGGAAAAGTGGATAAGCAGAGGGTAGAGGAGGAGAGGACTAGGCTGTAACATGATGGGAACCTGGGAGGAGGAAACATCCGTGGGAAAGAGCTGGAAGCTGAGGAACAGAAGGAACCAAGTGAAGAGAAGCCATCCAGTCCAGTTGTCTTGACAAGTTATTTTATCTGAGTATCTGCATGTATATACGACTGGTACCCACAAAGGCCACAAGAGGACATCAGATCGCAGGAACTAGAGTTACAGATAGTTATAAGCATCCAAGTGAACACTGGAAATCAAGTCCAGATCAGGTACTCTGCAAGAGCGGCCAATGCTCTTAACGGCTAAGTCATTCAGTTGTCTTGGAAAAAAAAAAAAAAAAACAAAAAAAAAACTACACCTAAAGTATAGTATAATGCATTTCTCCAGATGAAACTGTAGCTCTGAATGATGACAAATCTATATACAAATGTTCCATATAATAAGTGTGATTTAAAAACTAACCTGGGACCCCACACCCGATACTGGGTCGCCTTGCTCAGTCTTGACACATGGGAAGGTGCTTGGTCCTACTGAAACTGAATATGCCATGTTTTATTGATGCTCATGGGAGACCTGCCCTTTCCTAAACAAAAATGAAGAAGGAGTGGACTGTGGAGTGGGAACAGAAGGGGGCTGGGTAGGGGCTGGGAGGAGCGGATGGAGGGGAAACTGCGACCACGATGTAAAACAAATAAATAAATTTAAAAACAAAACAACAGAAAAAACTAACCTGGGAAATCCATCCAAGGAACTAAGTCCAATGTAGAGAGAATAGGCACCAGAACTTATTTACTCAAAGATAGAATTTCCCATTTATTTCCTTCCACACTTTTATTTCTGATCCCTGGAAATGAAAGATATCCTTATTTCAATTTAAGAATAAGTGAATTACTAATTCAGCTCATTTTAATTCACAAATGTACAGTAGGAAATATGAGGCATGTAAAATTTACATCTCCGTGTTTCTAAAGCGAAAAACAATGACAGGAACTTAAATTAATGACAGCCTGACTAAGAAGCCCACCAAATTTTAGTTCAGTGCAAAGTCAAGCAGCTTAGACGTGTGGTAGACATTTCTCCAGATCACAAAGTTTGGCTGTGAGTTCAAGGCTTTGCTTTTTTTCTTATTCCATTTCAATTTGTTAATGAAAATGATGACACAGACAAAAGGATTACCGAGAACCTTGGAATGCAAGCATTGCCAGTACCATTAAAGCCCATTTTTTCATCTTGTTCCCTTCTCTCTTTTTCTCCTTCTTTATTTATTCCTTCCTTTCTCTCTTTCTTTCTTCCTGTCTTTTTTTTTTTACTTTGAGAAAGAGCTGTTATTGGGACTACCCACCAGTTAGTCTATAATGCCCATTTAAAATGCGCCTAAAGGCCCACATATTTGAATGCTTGGTCTCCAGTAGATAGTCTTTCTAGCAAAAGTTGTAAGAACATTTAGGAGGCATACCCTTGATAGGGGGAGTTGGAGAGTGCCTTGAAGCTTTACATCCTGGCCCTATTTTCTGTTTACTCTCTGCTTCCTGAATATCAATGTAATGTAACCAGACAATTTCTGTCTCTGCTGCTAATTGTTTCCACAAGAGACTCTATCCATCAACAACTGTCAGTCAGAATAAACCCATTCTCCTTTGTGCTGCCTGAGTTGCGTTTTTTATCTTTTTTTTCTCTGTCTCTCTGTCTCTCTCTCTGTCTCTCTCTCTCTTTGAGAGGGGTAGAGTCTCACTACATAGCCTTGAACTCACTATGTAGACTAGGCTGGCCCTGAACTCACAGAGATCCACCAGCCTCTGCCTCTCTGTCTCCCAAGTTCTAGGATTAAAGTTATGTACCACCATACCTGATTCATTTTATCCCAGCAACAGGAAAAGCAGGAAAGACAGCAGCTTCTCTATTTTATACTGTGTTATATCAAAGAACACTGGATGAGAAAAGTATTATGAACAGAAATCAGGTAAAAACCAAGCTAGAATACATGATCTGATGATGCTGGTCAGATGCTCATGTGTCAGTGCATACATATAGTGGGAAAAGAAGGAAGGTGGATACTGGTCTGGGCCCCTTACACATCATCTCATTTAATACATAATTGCTAATAGATCAATTTTTTGTTAAAGACAGCTAAATTCAGAAAAACTGGATAATTAAATAAATAATGTCACATCTCTTTCTAGCAAGGTTGAAGAACTATGATTCAGATTCCTCTATGATTTCTACAACTCAGGTGCTAGGCAACCAAATTCTAGGCAAACAGCATTAGTAAGAAACAATAAACTTTAACTCATAATTATAACACCATAGGCCTATTCATGAAAGGAAAGGAAGCCAGATCTGAGAGAAGAATACGACATGCAAGACATACAGCCATTCAAAGACAGAGTTTTAATGCTAAGTAAATGCTTCAGTAACCACAATGAAGAAGGAAACAATTATTCTCTTACAATCTAGAACAGAATGAGATTTAAACATGCATGTGTGCTCGTGTGTGTGTGCATGCACACACACACACACACTCACAAAGCAAAAGTAAAATAAAACAAATGAAAATGACAATAAAAAATCTACTGCTGCTTAGGAAACAGTAAAGAATTTGAGTAATAGTGGTGAAGAAATGGTAAGGCAGTAAAGAACACTGGCTGCTCTTGCAGAAAACCCAGATTTGGTTCTCAGCAGCCATGCGATGGTTCACAACCATCTGTAACTCCAATTTCAGGGAATACAACTCCCTCTTCTTGGCCCTCAGGCACCAAGCCTGCACATGGTTCACACACTTATAGGCAGTCAAAAAAAATACACCTAAAATAATAAATTTTAAAAACTAGACAGCTGAGATTGGACACATTCAGGATGGACAGCTTATGCTGGAGAGGATGCAGAGTAAGGGGAACACTCCTCCATTGATGGTGGGAATGTGAACTTGGACAATCACTCTGGAAATCAATATGGTGGTTTCTCAGAAAATTGGGAATTAACCTACCTCAAGCAATACCACTCTTGGGCATATACCCTAAGGATGTTCAATCATACTACAGGCCATTTGTTCAACTATGTTCATAGCAGCATTATTTGTAATAGCCAGAACATAGAAACAACCTAGATGCCCCTCAACCAAAGAATGGATAAAGAAAATGTGGTACATTTACACAGTGGACCACTCGGTGGTAAGAAATAATGACATCTTGAAATTTACATGCAAATGGATGGAACTAGAAAAAACATCCTGAGTGAGGTAACCTAGACCCAGAAAGATGAGCATGGTGTGTACTCACTCATAAGTAGATACTAGCTCTAAAGCAAAGGATAATGAGCCCAGAGAAGCTAAGTAACAAAGAGAACTCTAAGAGAAACATATAGATTCCCCTAAGAAGGGAAAATAGAAAAGATCTCTGGAGAAAATTGGGAGCATGGAGGTAGAGGAGAATTAAGGGTAGAAGGAGAGGAGGAGGGGGGAAGGAGGGAGAGAGAACTTGAGGGAATGGGATAGCCAAGATAAAGGAACGGCAGAGGTGGAGAGCAAGGAAAGAGATATTTTGATTGAGGGAAACATATGGGGCTGTCAAGAAACCTGGCACTAGAGAAATTCCCAGAAATCCTCAAGGATGACCCCAGCTAAGACCCTAAGCAATAGTGCAGAAGGTGCCCAATCTTACCTTGCCCTGTAGTCAGATTAGTGACTATCTTAAATGTCATTATAGAACCTTCATTCCTCAGCTGTTGGAAGCAGAGACAGAGAGCCACAGCAGAGCACTGGGCTGAGCTCTCAAAATCCAGTGGAAGAGTGGAAGAAGTGAGAATATGAGCAAAGAAGTTTAGACCATGATGGGTACACGCACTAAAACAGCTTACCTGAACTAATGGAAGCTCACCGACTCTGGTTGGACAGAGAAGGAACCAGCATAGGTCCAAACTAGTCCCTCTGAATATGGTTGACAGTTGAAATGCTGAGGCAGACTGAGGGGCCACTGGCAATGGCACCAGGATTTATCCCTACTGCTTGTACTGACTTTTTGGAACCCATTCTCTTTGGATGGATACCTTTCTCAGCCTACATAAAGTAGGGAGGGCCTTGGTCATTCCTCAAAGCAATGTGCCTTACCCTTTCTGAAAAGTTGATGGGGGTAGGGTTGGGGGAAAGTGGAGGGAATGGGAAGAGAGGAGGGAGTGAGAACTGGGATTGGTATGTAAAATGAATAAAGAGTTTTTAAAAAAAGAATAAAAATAAAAAAGATACATATAAAAATTTAAAAAACAAACTAAACAGTCAGTAATATTGATAATATTAGTGAGGCTAAATTACTTGTTATAAAATAGTAATGATAGTCTGCTATTCAGATGTAAATACATCAGACAAAATTCTAGTAAGAAAATTTGTAAGAAAAATGTAAGAGAAAGAAGATGGAGGCAAGATTGCTCTGAGGCCTGATGAAAAAAAGGTAACCTTGATGTAGGAGTCTCATTTTTCAACTCCAGTAGCCTATCCTGGCAATTACTTTATCAAGTAGAACCGACCACTCACTGCTTATGGTCTCTGTCTTGTGGTCAGAAGAGAAAGAAAGAATGGGGTCATTTCCTTTGTTCTTCAACTCCTGATTTCTTTATTGTCTTTCTAGGACACAGATAAATCTGGCATCACAACAGCTGCCCATTCTTCTCGTTATGCAAAGTACTGGTAAGGCAGAGACTGGAGGGGGGCTGTCTTCATTACAAAGGTGTAAACATGAACTATAAAGCACATAAGGGTTGTAACAGTCATTACTTTGGTAAACCAAAAACAATCACATGGCATTTTGCTTTGTGAAAATCTCAGATGCAGGTCTGGTACCATGGCTCAGAAGAGAAAGTGCTGTGTGCCATGCAAGCCTGAGCATTTGAGCTAGAACCCCCACAGTTCACACAAATGCCAAGTGAACAAAGCAGATTCCTGTAATTCCAGAACTCAGAAGGTAGAGAAGGGGAATCCTTAGAACAAGCTAACTGGTCACACCATCTGAATGGCAAACTGCATTTTTTTTTGAGAAAGCCTGCCTCATTGTGTAAGGTGGAAAGTAATCAAGAAATAAACCCAACATTTGCCTCAAATCTTCATATGCACATGAGCCCATGTGTGCAAGAACCTGCACATGTAACTCCATACATGTGAACATGTAAATTTATGTTTATCATATGTAGACATGTACAAAAGAAGCATTAGTGTTACTTTAAAAATATCCCTCATATTCTCAGTTGATTTGAAACCAGACCCCTCTCAGGCCCACAAGGTTAAATCAATGATTCATTCTTTCATTGATTTCATTTCAATGAAATGACTCTGTCATATCCCTTTCAATGAATTTCTACATTCAGTTGCTTCTTTCTTCGAACTCTGCTACCCAGCTATGCCTCAGTCATCCACTGCTTCCTCCTTTCTTCAAACACCATCATCCAAGGTACATGTATCTTTATCCAACCCAAAGGAGTAACTTCCAACTGAGTCCACTTACCTGAGAGTGTACATCTTCCATCCATTTCTTCCTCGTTGTCTATGTAACTGGAATGTGTTTAATACCTATGGTGATCATGTTACTCTTGCTAGTTTGAAAAATTTCAAAGATTCCCACTGAATTTAAAATAATGTCAAATTTTATGGTCATGATTGACAAGGATCTGCCCGAGCTGGACCCTCTAGACTGCAACACTCACCTGTTAGAAACACAATGTGATGACAGCATCTGGAATCACCAAGGAGACTTGCATCTCAGAGCACCTTTGAGGGATTACCTAGATTAGGTTAAGTGAGGGTAGAGACACACTCTAGACATGAGCAGCACAGTTATGGACTGGGGTCCTGGTCGTCTTAAAAATGCGAACTCAAGCTCAGTGCCATCACTCAATGTTTTCTACTTCTATAGATGTGATGTGAGTAGCCGTCCCCAGCTCTTGCTGCTATGATGGGCTATACCCTTGAACTGTGAGCCAAAACAAGCTACTTTTTAAAATGCCTTTGTCAGTTATTTTGTCCCAACAACAAAAAAAGAGTGACTAATACACTTGTCTGCTCTTGCTGCTGCTGACACCTCTCCTTAGGAATTTGAATGAGACAGGGAAACCATTCTTCAGAAACCTTCCCTTCTGCTCAGACAAGATCAGGTGATTATTATATCATGTGTTCCTGCAATCTTTGGGGTGTCACCTCTACAGCCTTAACTACCATTTCTGAATTTATCGGTTTAATATCTGCTTTATCTCCTTACTGAGATGAACAGAACAAGCATTTGTTTTGCTGCTGCCTCCTCAGAATCTAATATACTGCCTAGGATGTAGTAAACACTGAAGTGTTTGAATGAATAAATGAATAATAATGAATAAATTAAGGACCAAATACTAGTTCACCATCTAGAACGCATTTACAGTAAACTATTTTTAATAGGACTATATTGATTTTGTCATTCTTTCCTCTCACCTCCGTTGGACTCTTTGGTGAGCAATGTATTCATTTATAAAGTAGTGACACAATCAGGGTGAGTGCTGTGCCCTTTGTTTGTCTTCTGTTTTGATGCTAAGTAAAGGAAATTGGCCCATACATTGCTTAGACCTGTGGTGGTTTGAATGAGAATGGTCTCTGTAGGCTCTTCTTTTTGAGTATTTGGTCTCTGATTGGTGGAATTGTCTAGTAAGGATTAAGAGGTATGGCCTTATTGTAGGAACTGTGTTACTGGGGGCAGGCTTTGAGGTTTCAAAAGGCACTTGCCATTCTTTTGGTCTCTCTGTCTCTGTCTGTCTATCTGTCTGTCTGTCTGTCTCTTTCTCTCTGTGCCTCCTACATGTGGATTAAAATGTAAGTTATCAACTGCTCCTGCAGCCATGTCTTTGTTCTACCATCATGAATTCTAATTCTCTGAAAATGTAAGCCCAATTAAGCATTTTCTTTTATAAGTTGCCTTGGTCATGAGTTTTGCCACAGCAATAGAAAAATAAGTGATACAAATCCCTGCACCTAAATTTAGATTATTTTTGCTGGAAGAAAATTGTTCTCAATTTGCAGCTTTTGATCTCAGAATTCAATATCCAAATATGGTCCAATGCCACATTGCACAGAAGGCCTCAAGAATGGAAAAATCTACATGTAAAACAAAGAATACTTTTAAAATATTAAAAGAAATTAAACCTAGAAAGGATTTCGACAGTCTCCTACTTTAGTGTCTCTCTTCTGGCAGAGATAAGAGAATATAAGAAAAAGAAGAGGAAATGCTCAGGGGAAGACAGAGGTTATCTGAAGCAACATGGTGGAATGAGAACACAGGTTTCCTGGGCTGAGGAAATTACTCAAACAGTAAAGTGCTTGTTATGTGTCTTAGTTATGATTCTATTGCTGTGAAGAGACACCATGACTATAGCAACTCTTAAAAGGAAAGCATTTGATTGGGATGGCTTGCATACAGTTTCAGAGGTTAAGTCCATTATCATCATGGCAGGAGCATGGTGGCATGCAGGCAGAAGTGGTGCTGGCTACATCTTCACCAGAAGGCAACAAGAACTGGTTTGAGCAAAGCCTGAGCAAGAGAGACTTCAAAGCCTATCCCCCACAATGACACACTTCCTCCAACAAGGCCACACCTACTTCAAAAAAGCCACAACTCTTAATAGTGCCACTCCCTTTGGGGGCCATTTTTTTACAACCACCACACTATAGAACTATGGTTACCAGAGTGCAATCTCTCAGAATCCACGAAAGCTGGAAATGGAGGCATGCACACGCACTCTCAGTGCTACAGGGGTAATATTAGAGAGACCCTTAGCAGACCAACCTAGTCTGCTTGGTAAGTTTCATGCAAATGAGAGACCTTGTTGAAAGAGAGAGAGAGACAGACAGGTGGATAACACTTCAAAAATGATATCTGAGGTTCTCCTGTGTCACACACACACACACACACACACACACACACACACACACACACACCACGTTTCCCACTCTAACATGCCTAACCTTCTTCTCTTTCTCTTTTTCCCCTACTCCCTGTCTCTCATCCTCTCTCCCTTCTTCACTGTGCCCTACACACAAGTACTCACACACTGCCATACAGGAGCATCACCTGCAACACTGGAAATGCTTTCCTTGTACACTGGCTAAGAAGGTAACACACTATCCAACTAGTTGTTAAGTATTTGAAGTGTGGCTAGGACAGCTATGGAAGCCAATTTTAAATTCTACTTAACTTTCACTGTATTTGAATCTAGAGAGTCACAGTCAGCTAGTGACTACTGTCTTAGAAAGCATAACTCTGGCACTCACCATCAAGGTCAAAGAAAACAAAACCTATGCCACTGGATAGCTGGCAGGAAGTTAGAAAAAGGATAGTAGCTGCTATGGTTTAAATGTCCTCACCAAAGTTCATCTTGAAATCAAGTTCCCACTTGGATGTTTTGAGTAGTGGACCACATGGAAGTTTCAAGAGATTCTACCCCCATGAGTGGGTTAATCCTTCCAAGGACCAATAGATGAATGAACTAGCTCATTATCTTGAAATTAGGCTGTTACAAAAGCTAGGTCTAACTCTTGTAAGTATCCCTTTCACGATATAATAGCCTCTGACAGGTCAGAGTTTTGCAGATTCACCACTCACAAGAAAACCTTCAGGCTGTCACCAGATATGGTGCCTTGACCTTGTACCAAACAGCCTCCAAAACCGCATGCTAATTAAACCTTTACTCTTTATAAATTACCCATTCTACTGTGTTCAGTTATAGGAGCAGCATGCAGACAAAGACATCAATCTTCCAAAGATGCTAATGACACAAAAGGAGGATGTAGGTTGTAAATGATAGTTGCCATTTTCATAAAAAAACCACTAAAATCATTTCAAACAAGAAAATAATAAAGATGTATAGTTTCTTAGTGTTTGGCAGCCCACAAGTGTGCTCAACTCCAGGCGAATTTGCTTCTGCAATTCCATTGTGCCATTGAAGACCTAACTGTCTCATTTCCAATTATCTCTCTGCCTTTCAGGATATCTGTTCCAAAGCAATCTCTTTATCATGGATGCATCAGAATTGCTAACAGGTGTCTGAGCTCTGTGCTTCCTCATCCATGACATGAGCTTTGAGCAAGACGAACCACAGCAGCTACTCTCAGGTAATTCAAGATCTCCTAGTTTGTTGCCAATTATTGATAGCACAGGCTGTGTTTTCCTTGACCTTGCTGGTGAATGGTAGAGCTGTGCTTTTCAATAGAGCAGCTAGTCAGCCAGATACTTAAATCTATACAGGTAATGGCAAGAAAAAGGGTTATGATGAGCTAAGTCACATAAACAAGGATTTCTCCTTTTTAACTTCTACAGAAAAGCACTTCATGCCTCCAGAGATTAGTTTGAATCAGTGTGCCTCCTGTACTGCTATCTGGACCAGGTGGAAAGATCACAGTGCTGGGTTTAGAACTGTGTAATGACCCATCCTTCACCCATAAGCTAAAGGAGGTATACTATACAGAGGGAGGTGGCACACAAGAAAACCTTAGAATAATAACAAAGCAAGGGGAACAAATATCAAAGAGATAATCCCTTTATGATCAAAGTCATAACGTTTTCTATACTTTCATATATTTATCATTTTCCTACTTATAAAAAATGCATACTCAAGTTTTTCTTTCTTTAGTATCTCTCTAGTTAGAATTAATTTTTTTAGTTTTATTGTGACACTTTCATACATATATATGACGAATCTCCCCCAACTGCTCTCCCCCATACAGCCTTTCCCCCACTTGCTGGTACCATTCCTGCCCCTAAATAGTTCTCCTTCTGTGTTCATGTCACACATATGCATCACTTTAGAAAGGTAGAAGACTCAAGATCTAAATTGAGAATTTGAAATCATCTCTGAGGCACCACAGCAAGGTTGGCAGCATTCTCATATAAATGTGCACATCCCTAAACCTTTTTAAAGCATATCTATAGGATTTCTTACTTTTCTAAATAATGAACTTTTAATATGAACTATATTGAGCCAGGTATAGTGACACATTCCTATAATCCCAGCACTTAGATACCAATGCAGGAAGATGCTATCAGTCAAGGGGTCGACCTCTACTATGAAGTGAGTACCAAGTGTGCCAGGGGTACACAGTGAGAGCCTTTCTTGATAAGACTAAAAACATTTCAAAGAAGTTTTGTAAGATTTTTTTTTCTTGGGATATCACATTTTCCAAATCAGTAATTCTTCCTTCAATGGTGTCTTAACCAATAAAAAATGACTTTTCTTTTCCTAAATAGTTCCTATCCAGCTCTTTTCCATCTTCCTCTCTGAGAGGCAGCTTTGCTTCTGCCTCTCTCCCCACTTCTCTCTTCCCCACTTCTCTGTCTCTTTCTCCTCTTCTCTCTCTCTCTCCCCCCTCTCTCTCTGTCCCCCCTTCACCCTTCCTCCTCCATAACCCCCTGAATAAACATTCAACCTCACCCTGAAAAAAATAATAATAATAATAATAAAAATAGTTCCTATCCATTGGTTATTTCTAACATGGTTGCCATTACTTTTGATGAGACAGAGCCAACAAGAAAAATGGTTCTCTATGGGATCCTATAAGATACTAGTTGTTAACTCCAGCAAAAGTTCCCTAGAATTTCCCTTCTAGGGAAGAAAACCTATTGACATTTCTTTTTTTCTCTATGTTCCTATCAAATTTATTTTAAAATATATTTTTTTCTGGATTTTCTTTCAACATCAGCTATTCTTTTAATCTGATTTCAATTTTAATTCTGGGAACTATGCAATTACAAGTAATAGGATATAATTTTTTAAAATGTGCATTTTAAAACCAAGTTCTCAGACCTGCTAGACAAACAGCTCTCTGCTGAACCTCACAACCAGCCCCTTTCTTGTGTCTTCTTCCTTTTAATTTTTTATTATTGACCTGGTCAATAAGACAGTATGAAAGAGGTAACCAAAGAACTCTGGAACCAGATTATACTGTTCTTAGTTCCGGCTGTGCGGATATACCACTCTGACCCCCATATGGAAGGAATCATTGAATCATTGCAAGGTGACTATCAGAGTGCCTGGCTTACTGTTAGTCTTGATAGTGTGTGTGTGTGTGTGTGTGTGTGTGTGTGTGTGTGCTTTTTAAAAGTACATTTTTCCTCAGACTTTTAGGGTGTTTTCTCACTTCTCTTAACTCTTACAAATTCAACCCGTTCAACCGTATCTGAAACATCCGCACACGCACACCCTCTTCCATTTTCAAACACTAGCCCCCTTCTACTTTAGTTTTCCCAACTCAAAGTCTCTAGACACAGTACTTATAGGTCATTTTCCACTGAGTTCCACTTAGTACCTGAAGTCTACACTAGACACTGCTCCTTAATATCCCTGAGAGTCAGTGCTACATCCATTTGCAGTAGTGACTACTACTCTGTGTCCTGAGCCTGCTGTCCATATCTGTACCATCAGGGAAAACGCAGTGCCTTTTAGCCCTTGAATGTTTTGCATTCTTCGTGATACAAAGTGTTTATACATTTTTCTACCTTTCTATCATGCTAGTCTTTACCCAATTTGGTTTCTAGCACCTTGGGTACAGACTTTCTCCAACCCCATCTTTCCTTGCGTGCAAACATGCATTACCTTTCCAACACGCACAGCATATAATGCCATCTGAGGTAGGATTTCTTTCTTGAGATAATTATCCTACTGTGTAGCACTGATTGATCTTATTCTTCCCATTCCTGCTTCCTGGATGCTGGGAGTATAGGATGTGCCACCAAACCTAGGTCTACTTAGTTATCTTAAAACCATAGATCATAAGACCTAGAATGAAATGACATTCATCCATCTTTTCAAAACAATATCATTTTACTTTGCCCTTCTATCTGCCTATTCATTACTCTTCATTTACCCTTCCGTCACACATTAATTTATCCAACTCCCCATTCATTCAGCAATGTGCAGAGACTGGAACTCAAGAACTTATATGAAAAGATGGTAGATCATCATGCTCATGATCATTGCCCAAAATGCTTTTCAAATTCAGGACTTTGATAAAATCTGAAAGCTCTTGTTCTGATCACAGTTGTTCATTTGCCATCTGCCAGTGTACCTGGTCAAAGGTGAATATTCAATCAATAGTTATAGAAAATATGAATAAATGAATGTGTGAATGAATGAACAAACTCAGTCACTTCTCATTTATTCATGTTTGAGATGTTTTATAAATTCCCAGGAAGATGCTAAGTGAGTGGTTGTCAGTGGGCTGAGTGGGAAAAAGCTGGCAAGAGTTTCAGATGACGTGTCTGTGTGAGCATGGGTGTTTGTGTGGGATGCTGAGACTCGGAGTGCCTACAAGTGCCTCTCCAACCACATCCCAGCACCAGAAGGAAGTGCTTTCTGCCTCCCTTCTCATTTTCTCTTTCCTATCCTATCTATCATCCCTTTCTTCTCACACACCATATTGATAGTGGGCCTTCCCCACTCTTGGTTTCCACCCTCACATTCATCGGTTTTCATACTGTAATAGAGAGTGTGTGGTATTTCTGACAGTGCCAGCTCAGATAGGAGACTCTAGCCGTAACTAGTTTAGACAAGCAGGGAAGAGTGTTGTAAAAGGAAGTCAAGGAACTCTTGGGCCCTGCTCAAGAGCAAGAAGTGGCCATACTCATATCTCCTAAGCGTGAGGTCCTCTGGCTTGGCAGTGAAATTCAGTAAGGGATAAAGTAGATAAGCCTCCCTGTCCCACGACCCCACCCTGAAATCTATCAAATTAGCATCTCTGGTTGGAGACTCTGGCAATAGTATTTTTCACAGCTCCCTAGTTAGTTCCAAGATGCAGCCAAGTTTGAAAACCACTGTACTAAAACAGAAACTTATTTTCGTAGATTTTATGTCACTATGGCAACACCAGAAATACCTGGAATTTCTTTTTAATTAGTTGACAACTAAAAAACACATTTGCTATGTTTAACAGATAGAATGTTAGCCCAAAGCAGGTATATTTATTGAAAGCTTACTATGTGCTTTGTGTGGTAATAGCTTTCATATGAAACCTCTACTTTGTTGTCATGTTTTTTTTTTCCTGGATCTTTTTTAAATGCATAGAGTAGGTAAAAAAAAATATGTCAATACAATTTCAAGGTTGCTTTCTTTAAATATATCTCTTGTCTTGATTTTCATTCATGCTAATACAATTACTCTGCTGAGATAACTATAGTTTTAGGAGTCTCTCCTATAACACATGGAAGACTCATTCCCTGGTCATAATCAGAGATGGGCACCGAAGCCAATTTAGACTGGACAAGGATATGGAAATACAGGATTTGTAAACATCTCTTGGGAAGATGTCTTTCTCTAAAACAACTTCAAGAAGTAATCTTCGCTTTGTAACTAACTAGAGCAGGGGATAAGAGGCATGTCACTAACTATGTCACTTGCAGCCATTTTAAAGGAGTGCTAACTTAGAATGAAACCAATACTAGCAAATCAAGGCAAACACATAATGGAAAATAAGTTCTTTTTGGGAAAACCAACCCCAAAGTCCCTTCAACCCTAGATGTTTCCTACTAGAGAGAGGATAAGGCACTTAGATTTGGGGTGCCAGTCCTCGTCTTCTCTTGTTATTTGATTGTGAACTACCTAGTCTGACTGGCCCATGACCTTCTGGGGATTCTCCTGCCTCTGCCTCCCATCTCACTGCAGGAGTGCTAAAATAACAGATCCACGGTGCCTCATCTGGTTTTATGAGGATTCTTAAAATTTAAACTCAGAAGTTTGTACTGGTGCAGCAGCATCTTTACCTACTCAGCCATCTCCTTAACCCCCAAACTCTCAGTTTTGGAAATTATTAAATTAGGATCCAAAGATCTGGAGTGGTTTATGCAAGATAACCTGTCTTTCCATCCTGGGTTCTGTAAAGCCGGGCATTGCTCTCCAGACTCTTCACGGCCATGCCATCGTTCATTCCACTCAAGCTCCAGGGCCATCGTCATTGAGAATATTTGCCTAAACTCTCTAAATGCGCTAAGTTATGTGATGGCCATAGTCTTTGAAATGCCTTCAGATTTCCCTGGAAGAAACTCTCTCTAGAAATAGATATTCTCAATCCTCTCTCAAAAGACATACCCCCAAACCTATGGATGCAATTTGGTTTTCAGATGT